TGGAAGGCTCCTGGTCCCTGTGACCTCTTCCCTCACCCCTCCTCCTCCTCCTTCTCTCTCTGCCCCTGACCCCACCATGAGCTGCTTCCCTCCACCGGCCCTTCCCACCCTCCATGTGAGCCTCGTCTTAGGCCCAGAGCAATGGAGCCATGAATCTACTTGCTCATTGTACAAAACCTGGAGACATTCTCATACTTATGTATAAATGACCCCTCATCCTCCACTGTCAGGGTGAGAGCTCTCTTTTAGTGAATTATTTTGAGCCTTAAACCTATAGAACCAGACTAACCCCTTCCTCTGTCACACATCATTGCTCTTTTTATTTATTTTATTTTAAACTTTTTTTTGTTTTTAGTATGGGGATGGAACCCAGGAACACTCAACCACTAAGCCACACCCCTAGCACCTTATATTTCCTATTTTGAGACAGGGCCCTCACCAAGTTGCTGAGGTTGACCTCAAACCCGTGATCCTCCTGCCTCAGCCTCACGAGTCATTGGGATTACAAGCGAGTGCAACCATACTGGCCACTCGTTTTATTGCACTTATGTATCTATGACGATGTGATAAAATACAATAGTAATGACAGCTCCCATTTGTCTCTCGGGCTAGGTGTTGCTCAGTGTTCGGTCTGTACAGTCCTTAATCTCCTGAATAACCCTCTGGAGGTGAGCTGGGTCAGCTCCCCTGGCTTGTGTGGGTGCAAAGTTTTCTGAAATTTTGTAAGTCATAAAACCATCAGGAGCTTGATATTGGTCATCCTGGGAATGGTGGTCATGACAGTCAGCAGATGCCACAGGTCAGGGCTTCTGGTGCTGGGAACCCCTCAGTGTCACCCACTGCCTCTGGGGCTGGTGGGCTTGTGGGGCCCATCTTACAGAACCCGAGGCAGGGAGGGGCGGTGGTGCCCGAGGACATACCGCCAGCAATCCGTGAGCCCAGATGTGGACTGAGTGAGTCTGCGGGACTCCTGAGTTGAAGGTCGCTCTACTTTCCACCCACAAGCAGCTTCCCCTGGGATTAAAAATTCCTCCAAGTGGACCTTCAATGGCTGCATAACTCTCCCATCTGCGGCCTCACCACTCCTGGTGAATCCCCAGGGGTGAAAACAGGGAGGCAGTTGGAAAAGCTTAATGCTCTTTCCTTTCTCTCATGTTGGTCCCAGCTGTGAGTCCAGTCCAGTCCTAGCTGGACCCCCGCAGGGCCCCACTGGAAAACTCTGGGCCCTTCAGAGGGTGGAGCCGCCCCTCGCAGGCCCCTGTGTGGGAACTTTGGGCAGGTTTCCTTCTCTCCAGGGATAAACTCAGCCTCCACCTCCAGAACAACAAGGGGCCGAGCCTCAGACAGGTGTGTGAGCCTCTGAGACCTCACTCCTGCTCACACACGCTCACACCCAGGAACAGTCACACTGATGTGCACACTTGCAGGTACACACGTGGACGTGTTCACTCTCATGCACTCACACACATATACTGCACACACTCTCACATACACACTTACTGCATGCACACCATGCTCCTACATCACCTAACTCAGCACGTGGCAGCCTTAAGGACACACCAAGGTACGGGCACATTCCCTCCCAGGAACAAGACTCTTGGGGCCAAGGAAGGGCTCAGCAGGGTGGTCAACATGCGGCCCAATAACTGTTCTACAAAGGAAAGAAAAACGCATGAAGAAAACAGCAGACGTGTGGGAAACGTCCTAGTCATCAAGGTCAGTGTCCTTAAAGGACATATTCGTTGGTCAGGGCTGTTCTAACAAAGTGCCACCAACTAGGAGACTTAGCAGCAATTTGTCATCTCCCAGTTCTGCAGGCAGGAAGGTGGATACCAAGGTGTCCGCAGGCTGCCAGGAAGAGTGGGCAACGTCTCCCTGGCCTCTGGGTGTGCTGGCACCCGAACACTACAGCACACCCAAATCTCTGCCTCCACCTGTACCTGGCATCACCTTGGGCTTGCGTCTGTCCACTTGTCCCCCAGTTTCAGTTTTTTGTATGGACTGTAGACATACTGCACTAGAGGTCCACCCAGTTCCAGGCTGACCTCATCTTAACTAGCTACCTCTGCAAATAAGATCACATGTTGAGGTGCTGGGGCTGAGGACGTTAGCATAGAAATCGGAGGCCTCAACCCAAACTGAACTGGGACCATCTCGTCCTGGTCTCTCCCACTGCTTCCTCTGGGCTGCCCCGTGGGACGATGTCCTGACGGTGTCCATCTCTTCTCCAGCCTTCCCACACACCTGCACTCACTCCTTTGGCCACAGGAAAGCATTCTGGAGGTTGAGGGTCCATATGAATGTATTCAAGAAGTCTTGGAGGTATGGGGTATTTATACACAATACCCGCAGCTCTGGTGTTGAGCTGTCTTTCCACACGCTGGACACGAGAAAGGCCGATGTGAGTCCATCCTCAGGGTTACTTTGACATAGTTGTGTTATTTTCTCTCAAGAAGAGAAGAGAATTAAACAGATGGACCCCAGTCGGCTCCTTATGAACACAGCTTTGTTGCATCCTGGTAAAGTGTTCACATCTATTAATGTCTCTTTCACGGATCCCAACTCACATTCTCCCGAAATAGTCCAGAGGGCAATGTAGCAATTCCCCAAGTCAGTACATCGAGGGAAACATTCAGGAGCTTCTAAACTCTGAAGTTTGATTCCCCCTACCACCTACCAAAAAATAAAACATGAGAAAGGAAGAGAGGGAGAGATAAAGAAAGGAAGGAAGGCAGGAGAGGTGGGGAAGGAAGAAAACCTGTGCTTCTAAGGTTGCAGCTGAGCGGGCTCTTCCCTGACAGTGTCCATCAGGACTCAGGCAAGTCAGGCACTGGCCACAGAGCTGGTGCTAACCCAGAGAAATGCTGGGGAGTCTGACTGGCGCTACCAGTCGTAGCTTTGGGCAAAATCACTCAACCTCTGAGACTCAGGTTCAAAATGTATAAAAGACAGGTCATAAGATCTCACCGTGGAGGTGGGTGAGGGGTGAAGGATCCTGTGATGCAGATTCCTTTCACCCTCAGCTGAGCAGGGATCTTAACAGGCATCCAGGCACCTCTCCTGCCCATGAGGAGACTATGGGCTGCTGAGTACATGAGTCATTTGCAAATTCAAAATATTCACATACAGTTGCTTTACTGCATTTTAAGTTAGAAACTAAAAATCATGCTGGAGCTATTGATTTCAGAATTTGTTCAAGAGAAGCACAGCAGCCTTGAAGTGCTGGGGTTCTTCCCACCTTTTCCCTAAATGAACAGATCCGTCTGAGGCTTGGGATTGCTGGTGGAGACATGCCCACTTGCCCCACCCCCACTCACCATATGCTCCTTGAATGAAGGTGTGGCCTGAGTGTTGGGCTGTTCTGTGTCTGCTGCTGGTAGCAGAGAGGCTGGAGTCCCCGGCAAGAGCCCTTGTGGGTCCTGCATGCTGAGGACCCAGGGGTAGCTGGCCTTGCTTCTGTTGCCGGACCGGGCCATCCTGCCTCCTGTTTGTCCTCATCTTGTCAGGTGGACTCTCTCCTCTGGCTCACTTCCTTTGGTTTCATAGGGCTGCTGCAGTTCCAGACATCTGGTCTATTTTCCAGACAGCAAGAAGTGACGAAAGAGGAGGCTGCGGGCATATCTGTGCCTTTTATCAGGAAAGTCAAAGATTCTTCACAAACCCTTGGACTTCTGCTCTAGTGTGCCTCCAACTGCAAGGAGAATGGGCTCCACTATAACAAGTGGAGGTTCTCCTGGCAAGGCGGAGGGGAGGAGTGGGTGTTGGGTGGACCACTAATGAGTCTGAGCACTCAGGAGGGAGGCTGGAGAGAGGCTAGTAAATGAACCCTCACGTAATTCTGACAAATAATTTATTCTAGTAATTAAGTTCCGCCTTTGTTCCTTCCGGGAACTAGGGCTAATCCTGTACCAGCAGGGTTAGTGTTTACTTTGGGGAAGGCAGAGAGGGAAGTGGGGCCTGGCAGGCACTTGGCGAATCAATTATTCCTGAAGTCCAGGGTGTGGTCTGCTGTTTTCAGGGTGCGTGGTCATTGGGCCTATCTGTTTGTCAGCCGTGCTGGTGACCATAATGAACACCACTGGCCTGAGATAGAGAGCACCCCTGGCCGCCCCTGAGGGTGAGTGCCACCCTGGGCATTTCTTCCCGCAGCCCCCTCCTTTGCCGCAAAGTCCGTGTAGTACAAGATTCAGGTGAGGAGTCACGTGTGAAGATCCGTTTGATTGCTTTAAAGCCATTTGTCATTTTACACCTAAAAATGTGATATCCAAGCTTGATCATCCACCTCGTTCCCTAGATTCAGCCCTGAGTGATTCAGCTCTTCCTAGAACTCAAATCAATCCTCACAGAATAAAATGATTGTTAATTTAATGGGGATAGGTTCAGAAAGACTTGCCACCAGGTTGGAAGGCAGATCTGAAACTTGGATCTTGAGCCGGAAGGTGGCTCCATTCCATGCGTTCTGCAGACTGTGAAGAGTGGGCTGCCTGACGTGTCCTCCCAGGTTGTGGCCAGTGCTCGGCAGCAATGCTGTCCCCTGGAAAGACTGCGATGGCTGCTCATGCCCAGCAGGAACACGAAGTTCCTCGTGCGGGGGGACTCGCTTAGCTGTATTCCACAGTCGTATTCTAAGACCTTCCAAGGCCCTGGCCCAGGTGTGAGGGTCCGAAGCTCTGGCAATAAAGCAGCAGAGGGCATTGTGATGCAGAGGTCCTAGGCAGAGGCTGATCCCCCCAGGCAGGGAATGCTGCTCTGCCCCTGGCCCTATTCTTTTCCCTGGAACTTGCAAACTGGGGACTGGCAAGCATCTGCCCTGCATGGGTGGGGCTTGGAATCACAGCTGCTTCAGACCAGCAGATTTGAATCAGGAAGGTTTTAATGAGGTCCTCATATCTGCCAGTGCCTTTTACCCAGTTATTCGTTCCCTCCTTACACGAGCATCTATTAAGTGCCCACTATGTGCCAACCACAGGCACCAGGAGGCATAACCATCTGGGGACCCAGAGTGATGGCAACGCACTAGTCTGCGCTGTGTCTGAGAGCAGTGGCAGTGGCCAGGATCCTCCATGGGCAACCATGGAATCACAGTCGTTAGAGCAGGCAGATGGCCCACGCAGATTTGCTTCGCAACAGGAGTTTATCATAAGTAGCATTTTCATCAAAGTAATTTCAAGGTCTTTAAAACGGCTAACAGCCTCCCCGGGACGGCTGTTCACATGTCTGAGTGGCGGTTGTGTGGTGTCTAATGCAGTTGTCGATGGGCAGAGGCAGAAGGGAGCCTGGCGACAGAGGCTTGTTGCTATTGGTAACCAGGACAGGTGAAGCTGCAGGCTAGGGGTCAGCCCCTTGCCTGGGAAGAGAGAGGCTGCGGGAAAGCCAGCGGCCAGCACAGAGACGCCGTCCACACCGAGTGGGGCTTGGCTCCTCTCATCACCAGCCCCAGCCCTGCAGGACTGGAGAGGGTCCTCCTGGCCTGGGAACCAGGTTGTCCTGATGCTCCTCTGCCCCTCCCATGTGCCCCTCCCTGTGTCTAGGATGGGCCTTGGATCAAAGCCTCCCTTAAAGCCCCGGTCCTGGATTTAGGGCGTCATCTTGACACCCCACCAGGCCCCTCAGGGTCCCTAGAGGCATCTCCCACCTTGACCTGGGGCCACGCCGCTATCTTTCTGCACACACACAGCCCAAGTGCACACACACACCACACACGTGCACCCACGTGCACCCACGTGCACACACTAATACCACAGGCGCCCACTCTGCCAGCAGGCTCCTAACAGGGACCTTCAACTCCTTCCTGCTGAATAAGGCATTTTTCTTTATGCCTCAACTACCCAACACACAGACAGACAGACAGCCTTTCTCCCCCTCAGCCTCTGGGATAAAGAAGTGCAAGTGGTTCCTTGGATAAGCTCCCACTGGCCCAGGGCTAACGCCCGTGGACGATGGTGAAAACATCAACGGTGCTCCCAGGGGACAGGAGCTGCTCCTGCATCCCCACCTGAGCCTCATGGCAGCCTTCCCAGGGGTGGACTGTCACTCTCCACAGGTGAAGACATGCAAGACACAGAGAGGGAAAGTGACTTTCCTGAGGTCACAGAGCTGGTAAGAGACTGGATTTGAGCCCAGAGAGCTGGGCTCTAGCTGCTTTTGCAACTCAGATCTGAAGGGTCCCCATTCCTACAGCTGTCATTCAGTGAACCCCGATGCTGGACGTGCCCATGGCTCTCTGTGCTGTGTAACCACCACCCCAGATATAACAGCGGAGGACAAGAATGACTTCGTTTGCTCTGGGATTCCGAGGGTCAGGAACTTGGACAGGGTGGGTGGGGAGGCCTAGCCTCAAGTGGCCAGGTGTGTGTGGAGGGCTGTGGCTGGTCATCAGCAGCTTATCTTCCTGAGCATCTGGGCTGGGTGGCTGCATGGCAGGGGTCTGCCCTCTGCATGTCTGCCTCCTGTGACGTGGGGGTGGGCTCCGGGCCATGACATCCTGAGGGGAAGAGAGAACGGGACAGAAGCCTCAGACCTGTTCTGACCTTCCCATCATGCAACAGCACCTCTGTCCCAGCCTAGCACTCCCACACAAGCAGGAGCCCAGGTCCAGGGGACGGAAACCAACAGACTCCACTTTCTCTTGCTTTTTGTTTTTATTTGTTTGTTTGTTTGTTTGGGTACTGGGGATTGAACCAGGGCAATTTACCACTCAGCTACATCCCTAGTCCTTTTCATTTTGAGACAGGTTCTCTGTAATTTGCCTAGGATGACTTCAAACTTGCCATCCTCCTGCCTCAGCCTCCCAAGTGGCTGGGATTTCAGGTATGTACACTATGCCCAGCCACAGAACAACCTTTCTGAAGAATGTGGGCTTCTGGTTTGCCCTCAGATCAAAGGCAAGTAGCTATCTGTGCTGTAAAAAAACAGTACCATTTATTTATGTACTGCATGCCTTTGGGGTGACCAGTAGATGAGGAGCCAAGATGCAGATTGCTGTGTGGCTACAACTGTGTATAATAACTTGAGAAGAGGGGTCCAGAATCAAAAGCTAACCAGGCCCAGTGGTGCACACCTGTAATCCCAGTGGCTGGGAGGCTGAGGCAGGAGGATCACGGTTCAAAGCCAGCCTCAGCAAATTAGCAAGGCCCTGAGCAACTCTGCAAGACCCTGTCTCTCTATAAAATATAAAAAAGGGCTGGGGATGTGGCTCAGTGGTGAAGGGGGACAGACGGAGGCTCTCTCCTCCAACTCTCCTGTCCTGGTCCTTGGGCAGTGTGGGAAGGACAATATGTCCTCCCAAATGGTACTCGAAACATGTTTGGCAGCAGCTTTTCCATGAGAATGCACAAAAGCTTCAGCTAGCACATTTAAATATTAAATACATTTAAATATTTTAGATCCTTAAGAAATGCCAACTGGCTGAACCAACCTTTTTTTCCAATTTGATGTGAAACTCACAAATACCAAGTTTAAACAATTTATTCATAACTGAGCAATGGAACCACGAGAAGAGACTCCCACCGCAGGGGAGAGGGGCCTTCTGGGTCGGAGCCCAGCCATGGCCCCGTGTCTCAAGCCTGCTCCCTGCAGCTGGCCCGCCTTCCATCCCAGGAGCCCGGGATCCAAAAGTAGGAGAGGTGCGTTCGAGGACTAGGCTTGCTGTCTTGTGTTGACAGGAGTTTCAGATCTGTCCCTGGCTGTGTGACGCTGGGCCAGTTACTCACCTACCTTCTGCACAGTAGCGGGCGGTAGTGACGCACACATTCACACGTTGCTGGGAGAACTGACGAAAGAGGAGTGAAATATTTCAAACGCTCCTTGGCACAAAAAGCTTGTAAAGGGTCACCCGTTCCCCCTGCGGTGACACTCGTGTGTGGCTAGCAATGGCACCTCTACAAGGCCATTGCTATTGCCTGGGATGGTGGCCTCTTCTCTTATGGAGGAGCTCAATCTGTGCTTTGGTTACCTGGTGCTGGCTAGATGGCAGACTGGAAGGATCACAGCAGGTCTCTAACAGTGAGGATGTGTAGAGCCTCTGGGCTCTTGGATCCTTCTGGAAGCTCACCTTGTCTCAGACTTGATTTTCTCATCCTTGGCCTTTCCAGCAACGACGTCTCCCAGGCAGCTCCAGGCCTCTGGGATGCTCAGCTGGTATCTTTGCCAACCGGGCTTTGCACCTCTCGCAGCCCGCCTGGCAGGAGGATTGGGGGGGGGCGAGTATCTGCAGAGGGAATTTGTCTATAAAGCTGTGTTTTGTTTTTTTGGTACCAGAGATTGAACCTAGGGGTGCTTTACCACTGAACTACATCCCCAGTCCTTTTTGGTGACAGGATCTCACAAAATTGCCCAGGCTGGCCTTGAACTTGCAATCCCCCTACCTCAGACGGGCTGGAAATACAGGCATGCGCCACCATACCTGGTGACTAAAGTTTTTATGCAGAGGTTCTTTGTTTTTCAAACTTTTTATCATAAATATTTTATTTTTCATCACAAAATTTACTTGCTCTTATTATAAAATATTCTTTTTAAAATTTTAAAAGTTTTCAAATTTCTATTTTTAAATAATGGCAGATTTGAAGAGTTGCAAGAATAGCATAAAAAAAAAAATTCCAGCTCAGTGGTAGAGGGTCTGCTTAGCATGTGCAAGGCCCAGCATCATAAAAAATATCTCCATACTCCCATCACTCAGATACACCAAGTGTTAGCGTTCTGCCATATATGACCACACCATCCTCCACCCACCCCGCCTCTCTCTCTCTCTTTCTATCCCAAATATATATATATATAACTCTTTTCCCCTAGACTGGTTGTTTTCAGTGAGAATGGCATTCAGAAACCAGGAAGCACGTACTAGGTGCTCATTCTTGCGAAGGTCCTCGCCTGGGAATCCGCAGATGACCTGTGGGGATCCACAAACACACCAAGATTACAGAACAACCTTTGTGTGTTCATATTCTTGCAAGCTAGGAGAACCACTACTTTGACAAATTCACAAGAGATCCGGGATCCGAATCTAAGAAGCCTTGCTTTATTGAGCCAGGATTCCTTTTGTTCTAAAGCCCCTTGGTGCTTTTTCTGCCTGACAAACGTTGGGGGTGGGGTGGGGAGGGGACTTAGCAAGCAGGTGGACGCATCCAGCTGGCCCAAGGAAGATGACTGTTCTTTTTTTAAAACGACTTTATTGAGACGTAATGCAACACCATGGAACCTCACCACATAGCTGTACACTTCAGTGGTTTCTAGAATATCTACAGATTGGAGCACGTCACCGCGGCCAACTGTGGAACGTTTCCATTGCCTGTCGTCAGATGCAACGCCACACCCCGGCTCTCACCCCAGCGTCCACCCCAGCCCTAAGCAGCAGCTGATCTTCCGATCTGCTTATTCTAGATGATTCATAAAAATGGAACCGTGCGGTTTGTGCTTTTTTTGTGCTTTTTTCTCCTTTCCAGGAGCATGATATTTTAAGGTTGGCCCATCCTGCAGCATCCACCAGCACTCATCCTCATCACGAACCTTCCACTGTGTGGCTGGGTACCACACTTAGCCCGTCCATTCTTCCATCCACGGGTATTTGGGTCATTTATACCTTTTGGCTTTTGTGAATAATGAGCATTTGTGTATGACTTTTTGCTTAAACACCTGTTTTCAACTTGGGCAGTGCATACCTGGGAGCAGAATCTCTGGGCCACACGGTGCCTCTCAGCTTCCCTTTCTGAGGAACCGCCAGGTTGATTCCACTGTGGAAGCCCACCGCGTTTGGGGCTTCAGCGTCTCACCTCTGCCCCCTCTTGTTGTTTCTTTGGTTTGTTCTTTGTTAGTTTTTATCACTGTGGTGAGTGTGCAGTGGTATGCTGTGGTTTTGATTTGCATTTCCTTAATGGCTGATAATGCTGAGCGTCTTTTCATGTGCTTATTGACCATTTGCATATTATCACTGGACAAAATGCCTATCCTAGTCCTTTGCCCATTTTTTAGTTGGATGGCTGGTCTTACTGTTGAATTCTATATATTATGAATATTAGACTCTTCTCAGATATATGTCTTACAAATACCTTCTCCCATTCCATGGGTTCCTCCTCCATCTCTCCCCTCCCTACTGCCCCCCCCCTTTTCCTTTCTCTCTTTCTTTCTTAGTACTGGGGATTAAACCCAGAAGTTCATGCATGCTAAGCACGCCCTCTATCACTGAGCTACACCCCAGCCCTTTTTATTTTATTTTGAAGCAGGCTCTTGCTAAAATGCCCAGCTTGGCCTCTCCTGGGATCCTCCTGACCCAGCCTCCTGGGTCAGTAGGGTGGCAGGTGCGTGAAACTGCACTCATTTCTTTTCACTTTTTGATGGTTTCTTTTGATGACAATAAGCTTTAATTGTGATAAAATCCAATTTATCTATCTCTCTTATTTTGTTGTTTGTGCTTTAGGAGTTTTATCTTGGATGTCATTGAAAGTCTGACATCATGAAGTTATACATTTTGATCTTGGATCAATTTTAACTTAAGTTCCATTGTCCCAGATGTGAGACACCTAAAATATTTAACTTGAGCAAAAAACATATCATTTATGGAAACTCTTGAAATAAATACTGTGTGTTTAGAATTCCATCTTTCTGAGAAAAACAATAGTGAACGATTAGAGATTTTGAAAAAATATGTAATTTCATGAAAAATGAATAAAGGATATATAAGCTCTAGGTTATAATTTTCAGCCTATTTCAATGCACCTGTGTCAATTTCTGAAATAGTGGCAGTATTAAAAACTCAAAAACTTAATGGGCTAAGTTAATTTCTGTGGCTGGGTACAGTGGTGCATGCCTGTAACTCCTTTGGCTCCGGAGACTGAGACAGGAGAATCAGAAGTTCAAGGCCAGTCCCAGCAACTGAGAGACACCCTGTCTCAAAATAAAAAATAAAAAAGGGCTGGGAATGTGACTCAGTGATTAAGCAACCTTGAGGTCTCTCCCAGTACCAAAAAAAAAAAAAAAAAAAAAAATCTTTTCTTTCTTTTTTTTTTTCTCCAGCTATGCAACTATTTCAGTACCACTGAGCATATCCCCAGTACTTTTTATTTTGTTTTTATGTTGCTTAGGGTCTTAGTAATTTGTGCAGGCTGGCCTTGACCTTGAGATCCTTAGGCCTCAGTCTCTCAAATTTCTGGGATTACAAGAGTCACTGCACCTGGCCCAACACAAATGGTTAAAAATAAAGCATTCTCCCCATTTCATGGTCTTGACATTCTTGTTGAAATTCAGTTGGCCACGGACATGTAGGTTTGTTTCTGAATTCTCAGTCCTCTCCCACTAGTCTGTGTGTGATGCCTGCCCCATGCTGCCCTCATTACCTCCCATGTAGTATGTTTCCAAATCAGAAAGGTGACTCCTTGGGCTGGGGATGTGGCTCAAGCGGTAGCACGCTCGCCTGGCATGCGTGGAGCCCGGGTTCGATCCTCAGCACCACAGACAAACAAAGATGTTGTGTCTGCCGAAAACTAAAAAATAAATATTAAAATTCTCTCTCTCTCTCTCTTTAAAAATAAATAAAGAAAGAAAGATGGCTCTTCTCCCCTGTTCTTCTTTTTCAAGACTGTTTTGGCTATTCTGGAAAACTGTTCTTTTTTTTTTTGCTACTAGGGATTGAACCCAGAGGGGCTTTATCACCGAGCCACGTCTCCCACCCTTTTTATACTTCTTCTTTTTAAAATTTTTTTTAGTTGTAGATGGACACAATACCTTTATTTTATTTTTGTGTGGTGCTGAGGATTGCACCTAGTGCCTTCCATATTCGAGGCGAGCGCTCTGCCACTGAGCCACAGCCCCAGGCCTTAGGTTTCATTTTAAGACAGGGTCTCACTAAGCGGCTTCGGGGCCTCACTAAATGGCTGGGACTGCTCTTGAACTTGTGATCCTCCTGTCTCAGCCTCCAAGGCACTGGGATTAGGGGCATGAGCCACCCCACCTGGCCAGCCATTCACTTTCACATTCATCAAATCCTGGGGCTTTATCTTAGTAGCAAGTGTGTGTGTGTGATTGTCAGTTAGCTCTCTTTTTAGTTTGTTTTATTGGTATCTGTTCAATCATCCTACTTTTTAAATCACCTTATTGACACTTTCATTGTGCCTGTGCTCCTCAGCTTAAAGACATAAAAGTACTAAAGATAGGTACATAGATAAAAGAGATAGAGAGAAGGGCAGAAACACAGGCGGGGTTTGGGGCTGGAGGACACGTGGCCCAAAGTGCTTGCTTGGCTGAGCCAGCAACCAGCAGCAGGACTCTGCAGAAGCACTTGAGGCCTTGACTTGTGTACTGCGGACCAGTCTGAGTCTGCATATCCCAGAGCCCTGAGATGTGCTGCCCAGGGACTTTGCCCTCCCCACCGCCCTCTGCCCTGGACATCCTGCTTTCTGCAGACGCTGGGGCCTCGTCTGAAGAGGGAGCCACCTCCAAGGCGTCATAACTTGAGCTCCTGGTTTATCTGTGACATCCCTAGCCCTTGCTTCTCTCAACACTCACCCAAAGCTGGAAGTGGTCACCTGGGCGAGAGCGGGGACAGACCTGGTTCTCAGGTTTGGGCGGCGTCCAGCAGGATAAAAAGGAGCTGGGCTTCTCTTACATGTCAGAGGTGATTTGCTGGAAGGACTGACCAGACTCAGTAAGTTAACGTTTGTTGCTTGGAGGATACAGGCAAACAGCAGCAGGAAGAGATGCTCATCGCAGGATCCCGAGTCTCCTGGCCCAGCCTCCTCCTGCCTCCTCATTTCAGACACGGGGTGCTCTACCTGGCAGAGAAATCCAGGGCATGTGAACTTTGCCCAAGAAAACACATGCAAAGCTCAGGGTTCGAGGCTCTGGGGGGATGAGTCACAAGGACACATCCTGCTTAGCGACCAGCCACAGAACTGACCTCAGGACTCCAGCATTGGGACCAGGCACACATCAGTCCTGACGTTCGTACATACCGTCCCAGTAAGGAAGCAGGGCACGGTCCACTGCCCTGGATGCACACAAAGCAGTCATCAATCACAGAACGTGACAGGCTCCTGAGGGCCACATTCCCAAAGGTTGGCAAAGGTTGGATATTGTCCAGGTTTCCCGGGAGCCCAGGCAGGAGCAGGCCACCGACCTGCTGTGCTGGCCCTTCACTCACATGCTGACATTGTCTACATGGTCAGGGTCCAGGGACCAACGCATCTGGATAAAGACTGGACGATCTCAGGAAACTCACGGCCATTGGGTATCATTGCAGTACAGTGAGATGGGAGAACATGGCAATAGAGTACCCACAAAGGTCTCTACTTTGTGTTCTTAAAAAAATCATGTCACTCACATCCAAGTCTACTAGCTCATGTGCCCGAGGCAAGGGTATGTTTGTGAAATGGCTATGTTGGTGACATGTCACATAATTTCTTTCTCTTCCTGTCATATTTGTCCAATATTTGTCCTTCTTGCTCTGGCCCCTCATGTCCAAGTGGATCTGGACAGTCATAATCTCCACCAATTATGATCCAGGAATCAGACCAAACCATTCTGGCCACTGGTCATCTCTTTCCGAGGATTTAGCTCTGCAAAACTTACCCTACTTGGCATTTTCTACTTGCACAAAAATCTCCATTAGTTCTTAGGCAAATCTGTAAACTCAATTTGTTTCATTTATTGGCCAAACATTAGAATATTGAAAACAATTCTTCCTTCACTGGCAAGGGCCTGTTCACTCAGCAAATAATTACTGAGCACTTCCAATAACAATAATTATTGTTGTCATCAAATGTTTATTAGAGGCACGGAGAGGGAGGAGGAGGAGGCAGAGTGGATTAAGCAGACACAGCTCATGGAGACTCCCATCTGTCCCAGGAGGGTGGCCACCTGTCCTTTGTGCTTGGGCCTGAGGGGATTTCTGGGTGTAGCACTTGCAGCGGCTGAGACTAATCCTGGACAAACTGGACAACTTGGTGGCCCTACTCAGCAGACCACTGGTCATCCGATCACCAAGACAGTCACAAAAACACCCCTCTCGTGGTAACTTCTTTGTTTGCATTGTTATCAGTGTGTAAAGGGGAAGTTCCGGGTGCCATGGAGGCTCTTAACAGATTAGGAACATGGCTTCACCAAAGCCACTGCCTCTGGAAGTCCCACAGAACCACCCCGTGTGACCCACGCTGTCTTGTAGGGCCACTAGACCCTGGAACCACGGGGCCTATTGATGCTGGAGCTGAGGCTAGAGCCTCATTGTGTCCAAGTCGGGTGATAATTACAGCCATTGGGGACACTGCCCAGACCCCTGAGAGCCAGATGAGTTCCCACCAAATCTCTCTCCACACCCCAGAAGTGGAGACTCCTCCCTCTTACTAGTCTGGTCCAGTCTCAGGAGGGGTTTTGTGGGTGAGAGGGTCACAGTGCACCAAAACAGTGTCTCCAAGAATGAATGTCTTTCCCAGAACCTCAGAACATGAACTTCTTTGGAAATACGGTCATGTGAGGTGTAGTTAGTTAAACCAGGTTAAAGTTAAACTGGAGTTGAATGGACCTTGATCCCTCACGACCCGTGTCCTCATTAGACCCACCGAGGGGAGCACCCAGGAAGCCAGAAGCAGGGAACAGCAATGCAGCGGCCCACCAAGGAGCTAATGATGGCCTGCAACCACTGAAGCCAGGGAGAAGCTGGGGGAACCTTCTAGAGGCTTCAGAGAGCACGGCCTTGCCAACATCTTGGTTTTGAACTTCTGGCTCCCAGACTGCGAAAGAACACATTTCTGTCATTTTAAGCTGCCTGTTGATGGCACTTTGTTATGACAGCTCCAGGAATCTCATTTAGCTCTAGGAAGCTGGCACCGCTGCTCCAATGACTGGCAGGTTATTGGGGACCCAGCTCTCTTGCCTGGGTGTAAAGAGCCCCAGGAGCCCCCTCAGTGGGCTCTGCAAATCCCCAGAGCCCTCGCAGGGGCAGATGTGGGCAGAGCTCGACCTTACCCCTGCCTGCAGACCCCATCCCACCTCTCCACATCTCCTGCCCTGTGCACTTCATAGTTTTAAAATGTTTCCATAAAAGGATTTGCAGGTTTTAAAATGAGAAGGAAAAAGTTTAAATGAGCATACAGATTCTCTTTTGGCAAAATATACAGTTGCTTCCTATTTCTGCTCTTAGTGTAGCTACAACCGTAGAATACACATAACGATACTGTTGTCCAACCAATTCATTCTGTCTTGAATTATTTCTCTCCTTATATTGAGCTGTTTGGGCTGGGCACAGTGGCACATGCCTGAAACCCCAGGAGGCTGAGGCAGGAGGTTTGCCAGTTTGAGGCTGGCCTGGGCAACTTAGGCAAGACCCTTTTCCCCAAAATTAAAATAACAACAATAAAAACAAATTAAAGGACCTGGCTATGTAGCCCAGTGTTAGCACATCCCTGGGTGCAATCCCCAGTAGCACAGAGGGGAAAAAATGAACTGTTTGGAAAATAAAGTCTAGGTCTGCCCTGCTCCTCCTCTGCCTCCCGCCCTCCCTTTTTTCCTTCCTTCTAATATCTGGGATTGTGTCCCGTAGATTTCCTAGACTCAGGCTGGACTGAGCCGCACAATCTGCTCCTGCAGCCTCACAGCTGAGCTAACGGCGGCCCTGCTTATGGGCTTTCCTCTCTAATCCCCGAGTTTGGGGTGGACACACTGGCTGTTCTGATTTCATTAGGCCGGCAGATGGCTTCTGCTAATCACACAGGCAGTCTCTTGAAGATGTGGGTTAAAATGAATGTCATTCGACATGTTGGAGGTGACCAGCGAGGGTTTACCAGCAAGGACACGTGTGGAAACACAAAGGCTGGCACCCTGTGAAAACTGAGGTATTGGTGAAGTGCCTCTGGGCACTCGACAACCACAGGCGCCGTGGTTTTGCCAATCGTGGGGATGCACCGAGGATGAAACGGGGCCTTTGAACTAGCGATGGCTTTTGGCTTAAAGTAAAAGAAACCTCAGGGAAGGCTGCAAAAAAAATCCCATGGGCCTTATGCAGAAAAGGGTCTTTATCACCCCAACACTCACCCCAAACCTATCAGCCAGAGGCCCTCGCTTGCGCCCCCTCCACCATCACCACTCAGGTTGACCAGCAAGCCCTGGGTGAAGGCCGGGTGGTAAGGAGAAGCCCTGGGCCCTCCCCAGCCCCTGCACCTGTGGCCGTCACAGCAGTCCTCAGAGGATCCCCGAACCTTGTCCCCAGCAAGGCTGGAGATGGCAGGTGCAGGGGTCAACATTCAGCCTTTCTGGGAAATGCTGCTTCTTCCCACCATAACCACCGTGGTGCCCCAGTGGGCGCCACTATGACCTGATAGATGCCATCCACACGGCCACCACTGATTGGTCAGAGCTGGACACACCTGACCCCAGCTGGACCAATCAGAGCCCTTCCCTGGGCTGTCTGGGGTTGGCCTGGAGCTGCAGATGCTGCTGTCCTCTGGAGCCTGTGGAACAGCCCGGCCTGGAGTGAGAGAGACAGAGGCTACCATGAGCACTGGAGCCTTGGCCCTGACCCAAGTGCCCCAGAGGCCAGAGGCCCAGCTGTCCCTGTGTACTTCCTGAGCAGTGTGACACGTCAGCAGAAATCAACCAACACATTACTGGATAAGAGTAAAAAGCCTTGAATTAAACCCGGGGATGAAAAGTAGATTGTTCCATAAATGGATAATTAAGTAACCATTTGGGAAGAGAAATGAAATTATGTTAAGTCATATGCTAGGGATTGCTTGTGTCCCTCCCCCAAATACTTTAAAGTTCTAATCTCTGGTACCTGGGAATATGACCTTATTTGAAACAGGGTCCTTGTAGAAGAGACCAAGTTGAGATTGTTAGGGTGTCTCTGATCCAGTGTGACTGATGTTCTTAAGAGACAGACAGACAGAGGAGAAGCAATCAAGTCAAGACTGAGGCAGATTAAAGATATATATCTTCAGGCCAAGGAAGGCCACAGGCTGCTGTGGAAAGGCCTGGAGCAGACACCCCTCGAGAGTCTTGGAGAAAGCACGGCGCAGATGACACCCTGATTGTAAATGGGTTGCTACTAAAACTGTGGAAAATAAATACCTGATGTTTTAAGCCAGTTTATGGTAATTTATTACAGCAGCCCAGGAAATTAATGTAATACACAATAATATACCCCAGAAGGCCAAATACTTAACTGTTTAAAGATAAAGCATGAAAAGAAATAATGGAAAATCTCTCTTATCCTAACACTAAGGTCTGAAATGATGAAAGATTAACCATCTATGTAAAATATATATATATTTCTGTATCGTGCACAAAAAGAATAAAAGTAAAAGAAAGAGTAGAAATGTGTTTGCAACATGTGACAAAAAGCTTATGTGCTTCATTCATAAGCAGCTACACAAATGATAAAAATATAAATAAGCCGACACGCAGAGGAGCACATGCTGGCCAAAGTGCAGAAGGAATTCATACAGCACTAGAACACGTGGAGAATTGTTCTGCATGAACTACAGAATCTCTCTGAAATCGTACTAACATAGATGTCTGGGGCTGGGGCTGTAGTCCAGGGTCAGAGTGCTTGCCCAGCACGGGTGAGGCACTGGATCTGATCCACAGCACCATGTAAAAATAAAAAAGAAAAGAAAGGTATTGTATCCATTTACAACTAAAAATATAAACTTAAATTTAAAAAAGATCCGATTGACAACATCCAGCGCTGAGTGTGGCTGCTCTGGAATGTCCTGGCCAGAGGGATGTGGGGATACTGGATACAGGGAACTGCAGGTCTGGGTTGACCAAACACTGCATGTGGCCTTGGTGGCTTGGGGGACCAGCTCTGAGCCTGTAGCACAGCCTTTGCAATCACAGTACCTCTGTGAGCCTGAGACCTCAGACCACACCCAGCTTCATGCTAACAGAGCCATTTATGAAGAGGACCCTGGGCCACGCTGGATCAGTTTGACCTCTGATGAGCTGGGGTCTCAGCAGCTGAGGTCAGTCACATGAACACTGTAGCCTATGTGACTGGCCCCTGTAAAAACCTTGAACACCAGGGCTCAGGTCAGCTTCTGGGGTGACAGCACTTTCTTGGTCCTGGGTGTCAGGTAGGTGGCGGTGACTTAGGACAAAGCAGCACGCGCAGGAAAGACACATCAATCAGGCGCGGGCAGAAACGCCCATCAATCAGCGGGATCTCCTGGCTAATGCCTGTCAATCAGCAGGGTCTTCTAACCAATCCTGGATTTCAGCCAGCTCCCCCGACCAACTCCAATGGGACAAGGGACTCTAAAAATGCCTTTTCCTGTCCCAACCCTTCCCTTCCTGCTGTAAGCCACATAAAAGTCCAGTCCGGTCAACTCCCACGCAGTTTCTCCTCGACTCTTCTCCTGTCCACTCTGTCAGTCTGATGGAG